GAAAGAAACTGAATAGAAAAACATGATCATGGAGGAATGTAAATATCTGCTTTATGTAAGTGAATTTTGCAACTGTTAAGAGTTTTTCATTGCACTAGAACACGGAATTCCCTTCATTTCACCCGAAAGTGGCTCCTGTGCTGTTCTCAGGCCTTTGACTCCCATGGGCTGCAAAATGGGTTACCTGGCCAGAGGATCCAGGCTGGCTTTAAGGGCTGCGTGGGCAGTACAGCGCTCTGCTTTCTCATCCAACAGCTTGGAAGTACGTACAGAACACGGCATGTGGCAGCCCCGTTAAGAATCAGAGTGCTATTACACATTTATTTTACTACCTTGTTAAACCAGAATATTTCATTGCTCCTGACAATGCTCCAGAATGTCCTGTCTGCACGCAAAACTTCCTGGGGTGAATGCCAGCATGGCCCAACCTCTCCTCTCTCCCACCTGCAGAAGGGGTGGGGGGAAAGGAGACAGATTTGGCTAGGGCAGGGATGGGCACTGTGGAGTAGAAAGGACAGTATGGCTGTCTGGGAAGTGACAAAGGGACATTATCCTCAGCTGGGCATAGCGCTGTGCCCCAAGTGCACTGGGGGAGTAGGCAGGGATGGAGCAGCAGCAATTTCCTATACGAATAAAGAGCTGGCAATCTACCATCTCACTTCTTGTGGAGTAATGAAACACAAACTTCTCCCCCTCCCATGTTTTCTGCCCCAGGGAGGGGAAACATGATACTGCACATAAAAGCTGCCGCACATGACAATTTTCAAAGGAAATTTGGCTTTACGTGCCAGTAGATCAGTATGCAGCATGGTATGACAAGTCAACCAGGACCTTCCCTTCAGCTGGGCAAGGCAACTGGTGACTGATTACCATTTTTGATGTGCAGTTTGGTCCAATGACAGATGATCTAATTACTTATCCTTACAGCTTTTCTTCTTTGGTGAAACACTGTTTACAACTCTAAGGCGTACCAACTCAAATCCATGCTATCTTCCTCTTCTCTTTTCATATCTTTCCCCTTGTCTTCAGAGTCTCTGTGACCTCAACCCTTGCTTTTCTTGTGCTCTACCAACTTCTGGCCCCTCTCCCAAGAGCTCAGTCCTTTGCAATTACCAAGCTAGCTGACTGGGAGCATCTTTTCACTTCCATTTGCCTGATTACTGCTCACCTCCATTCAAATGGTGCTCATAACCCGATCTGTTTCCAACTTGTCACCTGTAATCATGTACAATCAGTCTATGAAGTAAGTTGTAAGCGGTTTATGTGTTCACAATTTTTGCATGGTTAATGAGCCATTACATACATAGTTCCTCTTTCTTAGTGAAGGACTGTATTTCACTAACCATACTCATGGTGCCCAGAATATTCCAAGTGGTTTTCAGGTACAGGATTAAGTTCTGTTCCAAAGAACATATAGGTGAAATACCACAAAAAAGGGACATAATAGTATTGCTCCTCACCTCTCACCATACCGTTTTTTTCTGCAGTATTAGGTCATCACCTTTGCCTCAAGACTTCCCCAAATCATGTTTACAGTTCTCCTACTGGTATGTTCAATTATCCCTTTGCTCAATATTTGGCCTATCCACAGATCATCCATTCTCTCTCTAGCCTTTTACCTAGACTAAACAATAACCTCCCTTCTTTCACACCTGAATTTACTTTCCAATCTTCTGTCTACCTTACAAACTTAAGTGGTTTCTCTCATCATTAATAGCTCATGATCCTTAATTCATTCATACTTACATCTCCCTGGGAGGTGGAGCAGTGTTGTTACTCCCTATTCCACAGCTAGAGAGCTGGGAGACAGAATGACTTGCCAAGGCCACACAAGAAATAAGTAGCAAAGCTGAGAATGTCCTGAGCTAGTATCACAACCAATGAGCATGCAAAAGTTTTACTATTGCTTCCCTACAAATGAAACACTTTATTTTTCATACACTTTCTTTCTATTTTTTTTTTATGGAAAAGTTAAATTAACTTTTATCTTAAAATGAATTTATTTCTGACATGTATTGCCAAGAAAATGTCATTATTTTATTTTTTGTTTTTGCCATTGTATCCTTAAAGGAGCGTATAGGAAATGCAGATTTGTTGGGTTTTTTTTCTAGACCCTACCCCTAGTCTATTGCATTGAAGACTCCCATTGATCTGGTTAGGAACTGATGCACCCGTTAGCTGGCATACAGATTATGCAGCAGAACAGTAATAGGGCAGTTATGATACTCCAAACTCAGTTCCCAACTCTGCTTTTAGGGGCAGAGTGTTCTCAAAATACTCTCTGTAGGTTATAAATCTTAGAATATGCCTGGCTACTTCTCATGGCATCATCCAAGATGTAATGCAAAATCAGAGATTTAACCTCCTTGTAAATCCTGAAACCTGGAACATAGCTTGTACCTGTGTTTGCGCACAGGTGACACAATCTTCAGGCATTTAATTTAGATGGTCTCAAAGTGCCTACACGAGCTATGCAGGGAACTTAGGCTCGCAAATCTCAATGTCCTGAACTGCACCTAAAACTAAATACTGAAATAACAGGGTCTCAATAGTCTTGTCATGCATAAAGTCTGCGGGACTGTATACCTGGGTTAGCATCACTATTTAACAAAATCCCGCTAGTTAGAACAATAGCATCTCCTCACTTGTATGAGTAATTCACTCTCATACCCAAAGCATACTATGATTATCAGCTCCTCCTAAAAATACTCATTTGCAATACTAACTAAAGTAGCAGCTAAGGCTAAGCATGTATGTTGGTAACTGTTCCAGAGCACACCTATGTGAATGCTGCAATGTAACACTGAATCACAAAAGAAGAAAATACCCTTGTTTATCTATTATACACGTGTTCTGACTTTGCATTAATCCTCTGAAAATATTCATGTAATCATTCTGTAACATTATTCACACCTGTTCTTTTATGCAAAAGATAGTTTATTGGGGTAAGCATAACTTACCCCAATGATGTGTAAGGCAATGTGTAAGGAGACCATGTACAGGCATCCAGTTTTCAGAAGGTACATTTACAAAGATGGGCTAATACATTTTGAGATGGCTACTTAAGTAATGAGGAACCTTGCCACTGACTTAGATGTTACTCTTGCTGACCTCAAAAGACTTTCAAAAGAAGATGGTACAGCATGGCTCAGGCTTCATGACTCTTTCTAAGTAGTTCTTGTTTGCACTGTGGACATTATTCTGTGACTATCTGAAAAAAAAAAAAAAAAATTACGGAAATACCAAAATGTGTTAGGCACTTTCCAGAAGTATAGAAAAAGACCCTTTGCTACACAAAGAGTTTACAATCAGAAAAACAAGATACGAAAAGTAGAGTGATGGGACTGGAAAGGAAGAGGAAGACCAGCTTATAAAAATAGAGTCATGCCATTTCTGAATTAGGTATTTTAGTACGTGACACATCCTGTCACAAAACTTAGTCCCTGACATGGACTAAATTCTGTGTTCTCATCCTTTCTAAATCAACTTTACTCCCCTTTAGGGGAGATTGTTCCAAGGATCAAAATTAACTAAAGAGTAAAAATGTGGTAAAAGGTTACATTCTGTAGTATAGTATGGGTATGAAGGCCTCATGCTGTCATTCCACAGATGAATGCATTGCTGAATCCATGGCAGGGATGAGAACTGCACGAGGCCTCTCGGAGAACTCAAGGATCTGGTGGGATTTTTACACTTCTCTTATATTAAAGCTACTGTGTGATGCACAAGTCAGACAATAGGATAGCCCCACTACCCAGCAGCTCATAGTTTTTGATTCCCAGCTTGCAACTATTTGATGCTCAAAGTACCCATGGAGTTAAGGACTAAGTCCTGGAAATATGAAGATAATACACCTTTGGTGCAACCCTTCTTTTATTAATGTCATGAAGCGTTTGACTTCAGTGGCAGAAAGGTTTGGGGCCACACTTGACTCATATTTTAAAATGTCAGGTTTTATAAACATTGACTCTATACTAATAGAAAGCACTTTTACTGCTCAGTGTGGATGCCATCTTGTATCTGGAAATTTGACCTCCCTGTTGAGCTAAACTCAGCTTTCTCTAATTATCCCACTGCCAGCCCAGGGATTACTGGCATGAGTAATCTAAGCAGGAGTTGGCCTACTAAATGAAAAATGTCAGGCAGCGAGAGGGAAGGGAGTCACAAGGAAGCTTTGCAAAGTTCTTCGAGTCACTCGGTGACATCACCAATGAATTCAAACTGGGATCAAAGCAACTGCCAGCACCGGAGAACAACAGACACACAGAGGAAGGAAGCAAGTCAGAGGCAATCTCAGCTTGAAAATGATTGCAGTTTTGTTATCAGTTTCAAGCTAATAATAGCAATACTTCTGGCATCAGAATTTCCCCAACTCTCCTAAGAATAACCAGGGCACAAAGATGAGACTTAAGAGGCAGCCTACACTTACAAGCTGGCATACAGTGCTGAAGTTCCCATTTGCAGCATGTTGGCCCTTCCACAGAGTGATTTCACCTCAAGACCAACCATGCAGCAGGCTGATGGGGCAGGACTGGCTCTCCTGCAACCACTGGAGGGTGACGTGAAAAATGGCCCTTCATTCCTTGCAGGGATTCCAAAGGTCACTGGAAAACATCCAGCGAAAGGACCTGGCACTCCTGCCTACTGAGGTAACGCCTATTCTGCCTTCTAAGCCTTCATAGACAGAAAAAGTGCACACAGTAACATTCAGCATGACAGTTCTGTTCATAAAAATAAGACATTACTCACCACTGCATAAGTTCCACAAGACCTTTGCATTTACATTTTTCTGTTCAAACTGGAATTCTATGCTTTAGGTAAAACAAGTCTTTATCTTAAGTGCAATAAGAGTTAATCACAAACCAGGTGAGTCTAATGATCAGTAGGTTTTTCCTGAAAGAATCACAGTCCCATAAAAAACTAGAAACTAAAGTTGGGAAGTTACAAGGACGTTTCAAAGTTTTAGAGGAAACAGGACTGGGTATCTCAAGTAATGATGCTTGGAACAAACCATTCCTTTGCTTAGTTTTTAAAGGCAGCTGACAGCTGAGCTACAGAGTGCTTTATATAAATATTATCAGAATTCACATGAATAAAATCAGAAGAATTCTTTTGAAGGAAGCCATCATATTTTTAATTCATTTTATAGAATCATAGAATGTTTTGGGTTGGAAGGGACCCCTAGAGGTCATCTAGTCCAACCCCCCCGCAGGAGCAGGGACACCGCTAACTAGATCAGGCTGCTCAGAGCCCCATCCAACCTGGCCTTGAATGTTTCCAGGGATGGAAGCATAAAAACAGTATTTTGTTTGCAATAATATTTCAGAAAGTAAAAAGCCAGTGACAGTGCTAGGCTGTTTGCAAGATGGTTTGATACCTAAATCCTCATAAAGCAATGCTGAAAAAGCACTGCCCTTCAGCTAGGAGGTAGCAACAATGTCATGTGACTTACATGGCCATACTGTTAATAATGGAGCTAAGTATAATCAAAGCTAATCATTCAGCAATTGCCCAGGGCAGAGAGGTTTCTAATTCCAAGCAAAAAGTCCTTGCAAACTACTTGTGTTTCTAAGTAAAAAATGAACCAGCTATGAATTGGGTTCCCATACTGCAAAAATGTCCACTTTTTTTCCTTCAACTGCTGTAATTAAAGATGATAGGAAATGAGAGTAAGTTTTTGGAGTCTAAATTATTCACTCTGAATAATTCTTTCAGGCCTAAACAATTAAACTAGATGTTAATTTTATGCAAGTTGCATGTAACATATTAATATAAGCGTAAATCCTACATTCCTTAGCAAACCCCAACATTCTATTAATGGGGGATATAAGCAGTACAAACAGCTCATGTTTATGACATAAACATGATAAATATAACAAAGTAAAATTTAACATGGCAAAGTAAAATTTAATTTTAGAAAAAATAACTTCTATATTCTTTAAAAGCAGGCAAAAGTTCCAGATTTTTAATTACATGAGTTGCATGGTTCTACAAAGAATTTGTGCAACATGTTTTAGTGTTGGGTGCTACAGTACTGGATTTTATTTTACTAAAACATATGATTTTAAAAGGAAGATGATGATTTAAAAAACTTGCATGCTACAGAACCCATAGCATGGTGAGGATGAATCCATGCTTGTTGACTGCAATTTGACATTCAGCTGCCAAAAGAGGACAGAAAAGTGTTACTCAGCACAGAACCCTGTTGCTCCCTGTCAGAGAAACAACTGACCCTAAATATTTCTGTCCCTATTATGAGAAAAGGCTAAATGTTCAAATTGTGGGAAATGCTGCAGGTAAAGCTCAGATCTCCTGACACATCAAAAGCAAACTCAGTCTTCAGGAAGCCAGACTTTGCCCCAGTGCCCCTTGCCTATTTGTTTCAGTGGGCTCAGAGCTATTCAGTCAAATCTCCCTTGCAGGACTGAAATAATTCTAAGTCCTTAGATCTGCGTATTTTGGTCAGGGCCAAAAAAATCCATCTAATGGTAGAGTGTGACAGTATGTGACATATCAAATTTTAAGTCTACTGAAAATCTTTCTAGAAATCTATTTAAAAACACTCAGAAAGAAAGCATGCATGCTCTTCAGTTTTCCCATAGCTCGTCTACCAATGCTGCTACAGCATGAAGTATCTGAGAGCTGCCTGTGAACTCTCAGTAAACTTATGGCCACAGGTAGTGTGCCTTCACATGATGAAAGCCAAAGACATACAGACTGGTTCAAAATATGCTGCAGTGTTCTCTCCTGATGCCATACACTAGTGTTGAATAAATGTCCCTACATTAAGACAGTGTCCACACAAATTAAATATTTTGTTATAAACTTTTTGTGCTTAAGGCATTGGCATTTATGCCCAAGGCTTTCCAGTTATTTATGGCACCAGGGTAGCACAACATCCCACGTTAGCTTGTTAGCAGTAAGGTAGTCTCTCATAGCTGGAGTCACTTGTGTGCATTTATCCTGTCTTCATTTTGTTCATAGGAAGCAAAAGACCAGCACGTGTGCTACGCTCCTCAGTTTGTCCCACCTGCTGAGTCCCTTAATGTCAAAGGGTTTTACGCAAGAAGAAAAAGAGGACAGATGTGAGGTGAAGGTACACATAAACCACGTATCTCAAAGAGTTTAATTTCCTGGTAAGCAAAGTCCTTTTCTCCAACTGCCAAACCATATTTCCACTGGGACTGTGGGTGACTTCAAAGCAACGCCTGTACTCCCCAGAGGAGGGCCTCAAAAACCTGGACAAACGATTGTGACTTTTACCACACTCATTGTGCACTTCAAAGGTTTCTACGATTGTGTACACCTTGGTAAAGTCCTCTTTGGAATGTGTATGTTCAGCAAATATTGGGTATGCAAAGAAATAGTCTTCAGGGAAGCCACCGCACTTTGGTAGAGCAAGTCTCAGTCTCTGCCAAATGCCTGCTGGCATCATATTGATTGCCAGTGCACATGCAGCACTGGGAGCCTACAAGGGCAGGTTCAGTATGTTTTGAAGTGTTCTGTGTTCCCAGCAGCTTTTCCTTTGCATGTTACTCTTTTTTTGTCCCATATTTTTGCAGACAGGCTGTTCCCCTCTAAGTCACCAACATTGACTTTGTTGTAATATTGCTGATCCTAAATTCTTTCCTCAGGCAAAATTCCTGATAATTTCAGCTATAGATATGTCATGCCTGGTGCAGGAAAACCCCACATGATGGCAAAACAGAACGGGGAGAGTTTCCTCTGTACAGAGATTTGCTGAGTTGGTTTTTAAGGCCAGGGAGGTAGAGAAACATTAACCTCAAAGGACATGCTAGCAATGGAGGGAGCATAAAGCTTCTCCTGACTATCAGAGGGAAATCTGATCTAGTTACTGCTGAGAGGAGAGAAAATGAGATGAGCCCTTCTCCAGTGGCATTGTTGTCGCTGGGACATGCTACCAAAGTAGCTTTTTCTACAAATTTGGCTGCAGTGTTTATATTCAATAGAAACCTAACACTAGATTGTGTCTGGTAAATTCACTATGACAGAGATATTCAGGTGCCTGCAAGTGTAAGTGTAATTGCTTTGTTCTTCTGGGAGTCTATAGTATGTTAGAACGTATGCAGAGCCAAAGAGTAGAGAACTGTGCCCCACAGTTTCTTTGCAATTTGCTTCCATTTCAGGAGGCAGAAAAAAGAAAAACAAATTAACTCACCCAAAGCAGACAATCAACTTTCTGGAGGGAGGATGACACTGTTGAGGTAAGTTCTTCTTTTCTGTTGGGGATAAGAGATACACTTCATTTGCCTGACGAAAGCATCACTGTCACTGATTATCTAGCACAAAATTCTCCTAGATGTTAGTAGCAGGAGTTTAATTACAGACATGCTGTAATTGCCAATACACTTTCTCAAATTGTCCTCCCACAAATTTTGTATGATTCAGGCATAAATCACTCATTTTCTATTCAATTCTATGAACAGACATGAGGCAGAGTAAACAATCAGGTGGACTATCCCCTGCCGGGTGACAAGCTCCCAGTTTCTTTTTTCTTTTCAAGTGGCTGTTAATTGAGCTTTTTATGGTATTTCAGAGGTCATATAGGTTGCAGGGAATAATAAAGCCATTGATAAGAAAGAAGTTTGTGTCGTCATTCTCCCAACACCATGAGACTGAAGAAGAAACAGAGCTATACCTCTCCAATTCAATTGCTTCTCTGGAAGGGTATTTATTTTAGGCTTCTGTTATGAAGAATCATTTTGAAGTCTGGATAAAATTCGTCCCTAAAACTATTTACTCTTCTTGATATCATATGAATAAGGTAAAGTTCTTCACAGGAGTATGCCCCGTGACAAATAATGCCCTAGTAATTATGGGTGGGGATTTTCATGCAGTGACTGATGATGCCTTGGAAAAGAGCCATGGCACTGTGCATTCAGCAGCTAAGCTATCTAAATCCTTGCAGACCTCATTTATGCTTTTGGGAATATAGGACAGGTGTGGCAGTTACTAAACCTGGATACTTGAGAATTCACCTCTTATTCCCAGGTGTGGGCCATTAATTCTCGCTCAGACTTGTTCAGTTCTAACAAGTCTCTTTTGAACCAGATTTTATATGTGCACATACACACACACGATACATAGCATTTTCTTTTCAGTCCACTTATCTACTCTGGTTTTACTCATCTTTAGCTGTGCAGCTTCATCTTACCTAACATTTCACGTACACATGGCAGCGAATCCCAGTATGGATCTGTGGCAATTGTCTACAAACCCCTGTCACATTCTGTAGATACCAGAACACTCACAGTTTGCACTGTTCAGTACAATTACTGGAGTAGTTCAGGTAAAACTCAAGCCAAGCCCAAGTGAAATTCACAACAATGGCTACACCAATTTTAATTGGATCACTAGACATCACAGCAAAGCCAGAGAACACTCAAACACAACCATAGGTTGATAAAAACGGTAAGATCCTGTAAAAAACTGTAAAGGAACGTGGCGCTCCTTCTTTTTGTTAGATCATAGAATCATAGAATCACTTTGGTTGGAAAAGACCTTTGAGATCATCGAGTCCAACCTTTAACCTAACCCTGCCATCCCACCACTAAACCATGTCCCTAAGCACCTCATCTAGCCTTCTTTTAAATACCTCCAGGGATAAGGACTCTACCACCTCCCTGGGCAGCCCATTCCAGAGTCTGGCAACCCTTTCGGTGAAGAAGTTTTTCCTAATGTCTAGCCTAAACCTGCCCTGATGCAGCTTCAAACCATTCCCCCTCGTCCTATCATCTGCTACCAGGGAGAAGAGACCAACCCCCACCTCACTCTTCCAAAGATGCTCTTCCAAAAATCTGAACACTTTGGGGTAATGTGACATACCTAGAGCCTCCTCCAGAGCAGACATTGTTCAGGGACACACTTGATATTTTCAAACTCAAATACCTACAAGAAAGCTTCTAATTCCATATTCTGATATTTCTATAGAAGGTCACAAATAGTAACCCCAGCTGCTTTGCTCACTTCAAAGGGACTTGTGGTTACTGAGCACTAATGAATATCTCATCATCTTTATTTACTTAAAATACATTGGTCATCTTCTAAGCAGTCCTCTGGAATACCGCAAAGAGAGGGGATGATATAGTTATATGTTAAATTTTGAAAAAGCACACACTTTTGTGACAGTATTTTTATGTGCAGAGAATTGTCACAAAATGACAAAGGATTATTTGGGGTAATGAGATGGCCTTTACCTCTAAATCCCTCAAGAAGCTACTGCTGTAGTGGTACACTTCTCAGATCAAAGTAGCATCTTGTGAAATGAAACATGGGTGTTGGAGAACCTGAGCTGGTTTGCCTTGAAGCACAAATTCCTGGCAGCATGAGAGATAAGCATAGGCTGGGTAAGTGTCTCAATAAAAAAGAAATTTATCATCATCAAGTATTTTGTAGCTATGAAAGAGAAGCCTCTGATATGTGACAGTTAAAGAACCCAGCCTACTAACCAGAGTAACATACAAAAAAAGTGAAATTTGCAAAAATGGGAGCACCTTTACCTATACAACTGGCTAAATCTCAAAGTGCTAGCTCAAAGTTTCTGATTAAAAAGTTTAACTTTCTGATAATGGCATGAAATGAAAATACAGCAATTAACAAATTAAATATTGGGGAAAAACTAATGCAGATTCTACCTAGATGAAACCAGTCTATCAGGCATGAAGTACCAATCCCCCACTTAAAATTGAAGAGGAAAAGGGAACGGCTTGAGCTGGAGAAGTGCGTGGCATGTAACGCCTATTAAAGTGACAGCTTGGGTTTCTCGTAAAAGCAATCATTGATATATTAGTCTTTTCAGATACTGTAAGATTTCTGTGTTACCCTGATTCATTTTTCTATCACCCCATAGCCTGCTCAAGATGTGGGGGAGGGAACAGTTGTCTATTTTTTTTTTGTCCTCCTCCATTTGAGAAACATTCCCTTTATTCTGCCCATGTAATTGAGTTAATCTCTTTAGAAACCAGTATGAGGAACTCTAGATATCTGGGTAATTTCATATTTTGATAACTGCAAATAAGGGAAGTAGTACTGGAAGATGCAGAACTAGAAACTGGAAATACTTAGTCGCAAGACTTATTAGCTACATAGAGAGAAAGAACAAAGGCATTGGATTTTTCCTGTAAATGAACTCCAGGCAGTGTTACAATAAAATGGATGTTTGCTATTAGAACAGAATGGCTCCTTTCTTTACTTAGTATTTTCTAGAACAAAAGCGCTGTAACTTTCCAAGGCTATAGTGAGTCAGTACTAGAATTAGAAGTACAATCCTGAAATAGCGGTCACTACTAAGCAATGTTTCCTCTCCTTTCTCTTCACCTATTTAAAAAGGCTACCTCTGACAAATCATGTATTAATAGGCAAGTTTCTGTCATTTAAATTATTAAATTGGATTGAAGAAATACTCAGAAATTCTGTGCTGAAAAGTGTAAGCTTGCTCAAACAGATGTATTCATAATGCTTTTTCTTTCTGAATTTTGTTTTTTTTAAATATAGCCAGATTCCTGATATATGAAACTCAGCAATCCTTCCACTTTCTGAAGCTTTTATAACCTCAGCTCTGCTAAATTTAGATTTCTAACAATAGCATTTTGGCTTTGCTGCAGGTCAGTTCTGAATGCAAAAAGTAATTTTTGTAATACCAAAATGCAAGGGCTATTAAGAGAAGGGAGGTTTGCAATAAGATGATCAGGGAAAACCTCTATTACAGACTTCGTATTTCTGGGATATTCCTGAATGTCATCTGCTTGGTGATCAAAACAAATGCAATCATATTCAGAGTCTTTCTATGCAGTGTCGAACAAATCTAAGTTGAGAAAATAGGGGTAGCAGTTACCAACAGAAGCTCTTATTTTGTTA